ATATTTTAAAAATAATATAATTTTTATAATTACTAATTAAACCTTTAGAAAAAGCTAAAATACTACTAAAAGATATTATATTAGATTAATCCTATATTTACTTTTCTTATTAATTTATATTATATATTTAAGTATAATACTAATTAGTATTAGTTTATCTTAGTAATTTATTTACTTATATAAGCCTAGATCTTATAACTAGACTATATCTTTAAGCTTAAAATATAGGGGTTTAATAATATAAATAATTAGAATAATCTCTTTAATCTCTAGCTAGCTAATCTATATATTAATTATAAATATATATAGGATTATATACCTAGTTAAATAACTATAATAGTATATACCTTATAACCCGATATTAAACTAATATAGGTAGGTAATATATATTAAATAACTCGATAATAGCGAATGTATTATCTAGCTATTTGTTTGTTATTATCCTGGAGTCATCGAAATACTTATGTAGCAGGACAAACTTTTGGTGTCTTGATTCTTCTGTCTTGATTCTTCTGTCTTGATTTTTCTGTCCTGGTTTTCTGTCTTGATTTTTGTCTTGATTTTGGTGTCTTGATTTTTCTGTCACTTATGCCAGTGCTGTGGTGTGGCAGCAATCAGGGTTACCTAAGCGCCCAGCTAGAACCACATCCAGATGCAGTGTCATGCCACAGCCACTTGCGCTTCTCATCAACACACCACGCTCTCGCTCTGCTGGACTTCTGGTCCATCGTCATCTGAAGCTTTCCTTTGGATGAAATTTCGTTCCGTAGCCGCGGATGGACGACGCGCTGGAGCCCATCAGAGGGTTGGTCCATCGGGTCAAAGGGTCACTCTCTAGACACCGAGCTGATGGCGAATACTGCGGCTTACGCATTGTCCGCGACCCCAAGAATGCTGATATTGAGTGCGCTTTCTCCCCTCGTCTCTCCATTTCAAATCATTCCAGCACGCGTACTAAATAGTTCGTTACTAGCATTGTCGCCGTTCATGGCCTGGGGAGCGAGGGCTTCAAGTCATGGGTCACCGTTGATCCCAGCCAGCCCAAGAGTCACAAGTCATGGCTCCAGGAGCTTCTCGCCAAGGACGTCCCAAATGCCCGCATCATGACCTACGGGTATATTTCTGATGGTGGGAGTTTCCGCTATGTCATCCGAAATGTCCTGTACGGTCGCGCTCTCGACATGGTCAAAGAGCTCGGGGCGCAGAGGTGCAAGGACGGCACAGAGAAGAGACCGATATTCTTCATTGCCCACAGTCTCGGCGGCTGGATCGTCAAGCGCGCTCTCATCATATCCAGCGAGGCTGCCGACGTGGAGCTCAAGGACATCGAGCTGTCTACTTGCGGGATCGCTTTCTTCGGGACACTCTCGCCTGGAAAACCATTGTCGCCATCGCCACTTGCTCACGTCATCCGCAGAACGACCTCTGGCCTGAACGAGGATGCCAAGTACAGCAGAAGGTCTTTGTCCATGAACACATTTGAGCTCAATGAAAGCGACAGCGAGTGGCTAGAGAAACAACTCGAGGCGTTCAAGGCTATCATGGCGAATTTACCTCGTCTCTCATTCCACGAGACCAAGAAGTCTGAGGATAGCTTCGTTGTGAAAAAGACCGATGCCATCACGGGATCCGACGGCGATCAAATTGGTCTTAATGCGACTCACTCTGACCTTATTAAATTCCAGGGGCGTGATGCGAATTATGAAGCATTCATCAGCAGGTTCCGTGAAATGATTAACAATGCGGGTATATCAGGGCTGCTGGATGAAAAACACAAGGTCTTCAATCTCGCTGTGGCTCCCCCGTTGAATTTTCCAACAGAGGACTTCTCCATCCCAACCAAGATTCCTGGTGAACCAGGTATCGTGGTAGGTCGGGAAGACTTGCTTGAGCAGCTTGATACAATTCTCAGGCCGAAAGATGAGACCGACAAGCTGCAACTCAGCATCGCCACGCTCTGGGGCCCAGCCGGTACAGGAAAGACGACACTTGCAAAACACTATGCAGAAACACACAGGAGCGATATTTCCTTCGTCATCTGGGTGTGGGCCGAGAGCTGGGAAACCGTTGTGGCAAGCTATCTCGAGTTTGCCGAGTCTCTTGTCTGCCACTACTCCAAGAAGGCGCCCAGAGACCGTGTAGAGAATGATCTCGGCTTGACTGGAATTGGTGAAATGCTCAAAGTGAAGAGCATCCTGGAGCTTGATACCCCGACCGTCAAAGCAGTTGTACGGGCAGTGAAGGACTGGCTGATGCGCCCCGAGAACCGTGGGTGGCTACTTATCTTGGATAATGTCGACGCTACGTTCGACATCTTCGATTTCATACCTCTCACATTGTCTGGGAGAATTATCTTGACATCAAGAGACAAAACTTGTTGCCCGTGGGGTACTGAGCTAGAGGTTCCCGTCATGACCGAGGCTGAAGCTATCGAGTTGGTCAAGTCCACACTTGGAAACGAAATTGCCGATAACCCTGAAGAACGTAGGTTCAATGCCGTGACTTCATTCCCTCCAATGAGAAAATATAGCTGATGAAAGGTTTAGTTGAAGCAGCAAAGGATGTCGTTAAGCGTCTTGGTTACCACCCCCAGAGTATCGCCATGTTATCGTCAACAATCCGACATAGGGACATAACCATCAGCAAATACCGCAAAAGGCTTGACGCAAAGTTTCCTTTAAGTCTCCCTGGTTCAAATATCGACCAGTCCCCAGTCACTACAACCATCTTGGGTATCAGTGCCATGCTGTCAAATTCCGTGATTCCTGTGGCTCTGTTCACCACCGACCTACTAAAGCAAGCTTCAACAAACCTTTCAACTAACTTCCCTGATGTCAAATGTAAGGCCCCGGAAACTACTACCTCATTTTCCTCGTCTCTAACAAACGCCAGTGTTCCAAGATCTCGACCATCTCAATGATGTCTTTCAGCATTTACTGAACGAGAACTTCATCCAAACACCGTCCTCTCCAACTGACTCATCATCGCAGTCCTCCAGCTCATCCAGCTTCGACTCGTTCATCCTTGAGGCTGAAGCTCGTGATCATGTTCGTCGGTCACTCACCCAGACGGGACGAGTCGATCATGCCAGAATCGCCTGCACTGTATGTATCGACGGTATTCGTAGGAAGGAGTCGGATTCCGAAACCTTGCCCGAGATCCATGACTTCGGGCGTATCATGGCTCCACATGCCAAAACATGTTACGATGACTGGGCAGCTGCGTTGGAAATATCCCCAGATAATCAAGGGATTGCATGGGAGGTGCTTGGAAATGTCTGCATGACACAAGGGGCAACAGAGCAAGCCATCGGATGCTTCGAGCTTTCACTGAGAGAAAACAGGGCCTTGAGCCCCATAGACAGGATCCAAACCTCCCTGTCGCTAGCCACCCTCCTAAACCAGATGGGAGAGTTTCAGCGGAGTCAAGATATCCTCCTCGATCTCGACCTCCTTTCCATTGATAAGGCACTCGGGTTCCGCGTCGCCATGGCAAGAGCCTCCACATCTGCTGCACAGGGAGAGCTAGACGATGCAGAGAGCCAATACGAAACCCTCGAGCACGAGCAAGAGCAAACACTGGGACCCACAGACATCTCAACGGTCAACACAGTCCAAAGGCTCGCCGTCACCCTCGAGCAGCTCGGCAAGTTCGAGGAAGCCCAGGCCCTCTATCGCCGCGTCTTCATCTCCTACAAGAACCTCTTCGGGCACGCCCACCCCATCGCCCTCGAGGCCCTCGAGGACCTCGCCAACATCTCCCGCGCCAACAACGCCATCGACGACGCGGAAAGTCTCTACAAGCAGAGCGTGGAGATCAAGACCCGCTCCCTCGGCGCCGACCACCCCTCCACCGCCCACGCGATCCAGAAACTCGCCGTCATCGACGACCTCCGCGGCCACTACGACGAGGCCGGCAAGAAGTACCGCCGCGCCCTCGACATCATGTCCCGCTCGCTCAACCGCGCCCACCCGCTCTACACAACTACCCTCGAGAACATGGCCCTCAGCTCCCGCTGGCACGGCCGCGCCCTCCAGGAGGACATCCCCTCCCCTTCCTCGTCGCGCACCATCAAGCCGAAATCCAGGGACGAGGACGTCATGCACGAGACGCGCCGGCGCACGGCCTTTGAGGAGGCCGAGCGGCTGTACCTCGAGGTCGTGAGCATCAAGCGCGCCGCTAGGGACGTGTACTCGGAGAGGGAGGTGCTGGCCACGGCGTCGAAGCTGCAGGAGATGTACGAGAATGAGGAGTTCTTCGAGGAGGGGAGGGGGGTCAAGGTCGATGATCTGATGCTTCTGTTCCGGGATGGGCGGCGGAGGGGCACGGTGTAGGGGATGGTCCCCCATCCACGAGAACAAAAGTGCTTCATGGAGGATTTAATATTTCATTTTTCTTGCACATTTGTTTCTTCATTTGGATTTATCCCCTTTTTAACCAGAGCAAGCGGTTAACTGGTTTGATTTTTTCACGCCATGATTATTCAGTACATAGCGGAGGACAACGTTCGTTTTAATGAGGCATGATTAGAGACGGAATAGCAATAACACTCGAAATAGCAAGCGCGTCAAGATATACGTTTTTATACTCCTAATAATATACCAACCATTCCGGGTAAACACCCAGTATTGTTTCAAATAATGCTAATTCAAGGACGCAGGTGATATGTGAATGGCCAAAACATGGCGTTGCTTTATACACAGGTAATAGATAGGGTCGCCTCTGACTCCGGAGTGCAATTCCGCTTGCTCCCGCCGCCGCAAAACCCCCTCTGTTTCCAAGGCGTAGCATGTGCAAACTTTCGAGCGTGGATGATACTTGCTAAAAATACTCTGAAGCGTAGGGGTTGGATTCCGCTAAATGTAGAGTACAGGTTTCCAAAGCCGGAAAAAGCCAAAAGCAATCGTTTCATTTCCCGTTCGCCCGCTAATGATAATTCGAAGAGCACTGCCTTGGAGAATTGCATGCGTGTGCTGAACCGACATGATTCAGATCCTCTCTCACGTGCTTTCGATGTCTTCCTCCTCGCCGGCCTCTGGGATGAGTGGCCTCTTCGGTTTCTCGTAGTGGGGCTTTCCTCTCTCGACGAGCATCTGGTGGTCAATTCGAGACTCGGTGTCGCCATATTCCAGCCTCTTCCAGGTGAAGATTCGAGCTTCGTTGAAATCAATCTCGAACAGTCGCAGCCGGCGCACGTACTCTTCGTAGCCAGCGTAGCCGCCAAAGCCAACGCCGCCTCCGTAGCACATCCATAGTGCAGGATCTTCCTCCTCGCCTTCAAGCGAGATAGAGCAATAGTCATTGCAATGATCGCTAATTTTAGGGTTAGTCGACAGATCAAGGAACGAGCCACATCAGCTGAGGTATTTAAAACTTACTGGCCAGCGCTGACCATGAGGATGCCCTCTTCCACAAGGGCATCCCGAAATCCAGAGTTGAATACTGGGGCCGTCACGCCCTCGGTCCAGTTTCCTAGTCGGGGGAGCTTAGGGTCGGCATACTCGGTCAGTGGAATGTGAACAAAGGCAATGTCCATGTGTTTGTGCGTATATTCCCTGTGCTTCTCTTTGAGGCCACCTGCAGTCTTCTTGAACCATTCGATCTGGTTCGGCTTAATCCAATCATAGCCAGGGTAGTTACGCTCATCAGGAGTGTAAGAGTGCGAATCCAAAAGATAGATTGTCAGGGCCGAGTGGTCAGAAGAGCCTTTCGCCAACACCTCAATGTAGTAGTTTCCTACTCCTGCAATGTCGGCTGGCCCAGTCAAAGACAGTGAGAATGGGAGATTTTCCATAATGGCCATCTGAGCCTCGCGAGAGAGGGTCCCCTCGTCATCATGGTTTCCAAAAATGGCCGCATAAGGGATCTTGCGCTTAATCAACAGACTAGCAAACTTGAAAATGGGCTAAGAAAACGAAGGTTAGTCGAAAGTTTCATGAACTGGGATGAGCTTGATCGTACCGTTTGAGCATCCGGCGCTGTGTCTCCGTTCACTTGGTCACCACTCAAAATAACAAGATCAGGTTTCTCGTCATCGAGGATTTTCGACACGAAGTCCAGTGTCCTCGGGTCAGCTTCGCATGGCCCACCATTGTAGCCGTCTGGGACAGGCTCGCGGCACACTCCAACCCCGGTGCTAAGATGTAGATCTGCAATCTGCAGAATCTTAAAGCGTCCATTATCCTTGACTCTCGGCTTGGGCTTCTTAATCTCCGCAGGGGTGCCTCTTCTCACGGTAAGGTGGACGCTGTAGACTGGCGAACCGCCAAGTAGGAAAGGCGTCCCTGTGATGGCCCAACCTTCACGTGCCTCAGTGGCATCATCCCCAAAAAGGACATCCACATCAGTAATAGCCTTTTTTGAATCGCTGGATCCCCTACTCGCCGAGCGCTTGATCCACAACCCCCCCGGGCGCTGCTCCCATAGATCATCATCCTTATTCGACGTCGGGGTTAGCCTCCCTACGGAGATATCCATCACGACGTGGTCCTCGGAGGTAAGTTCCTCCTCATGCTTGCGAGCGACGTGGAGGTATGCTCTACCGGTCCAGGATTTGCCGAGGTATAGTTCCTTATCGATTCGGTGCCATTTACTCGTATCGAGATCGCATGAAGAAAACGGGTTTAGGGAGGTACATTTTGCAATCGTCACATCTGTTACGACGAGGCCAGGGTGGTGCGAGGGCATGTAGCCATGAATCTTGTTCGGAAGCACTCGGTATTTGCTGTCGAGGATGTAGACGACGAGGAACGTAAAGGTGATCAATGTGGTCAGCTGCAGCGCCGTCCGTACCTGACAGGTGGCGAACCACGGTTAGCAGAGTCCCTTGCATCTCAGTACGGTGTATAATCGTCCGAAACTCACGATGCGCCGTGTCATGATGAAGAAGAAATTGCCACGGGGGCTACCACAGCGGGAGAAGTCCCCAACACTGTATTGCAAGGACGGGCGCCGGACTAAAGTGCTATGCGACAGGCAAATCGAGGGCCAAACCGGAGATGGGCTGGTGTCGGCGCAAAGGGCATCTTCCCACAGCTCAGCTGGCCGGGTGCCCAATAATATCTATCACGTGGGTGTGTTCGTTGGTGGGATGGCGAGAAGATGCGGAGGCAGTTGAGGTCGGAAGGGTTGCTCTCAAAGTCGGAAGAGAGCTGGAGAGATCGACCTGCCAAGACAAATGGGATGACGTTGCAACAAGGCGGGACTGGATCGGTGTCTAAAGGATGAGGGCCAAGCAACGAAGGATGTATATAGATACACGATATAGGAGTGTATATCTACTGCACGGAGAGCGACGAGGCAAGAAGCAAGTAGTGTCGGAAGGAGAATGGCCAGGCGGTGACGAAATTGATGTCCATGACGATTGCTTGACGGGCGACTCGACTCTTGCTGTCAGTCGGAATTAGAGTTTGCAGCGAGCCTATTCCAGCGCCCAGCTGCAGAAGCACGCGGTGTGGCTTGGCAGGGGGACCCCTATAAGTTTAGAGGGCCAGCGCCCATATTGCAGTGGGGAACGGGGAGATGAGGCCGAGACCGCAGTGCTTATTGTGAGGAATCCCCTCTGCTGGCGGCCTCGAGTGCTAAATTAAGTGTGCAGCGGAGTCTGGAAAGACCCTGGATTCAAGCGAGATCCATTGACAAGCCGGATCATTGCCGCAGCATCGGACGAAGTTATCCAACCATCCAGGGCAGTTGCCTGAAAACGTACGTTTTCCTCCCACAGAACGAAAGCTGCGTTTCCAACACATAGCACAATAATGTGCAAGCATCTCTTTCACGGTTACATTTGCGCTTCTTCTCAACCAAATGAAAAACTCTGCAGCATTTAAGTCGTCAGATGACACCGAACTCGCTCTTCACCAGCCTCATCGTGACTTGAGCCCTCGAAGACTCCATCCAGCCAATTCCAGCAAGGAGTACCTTGTACATTTAGGAAGAACCTCCATATCTGGCAGCTACAATTACGTGTCTCTATCAATGGCTGGAACAATAGCACACAAAAATCACACAATGGGTCAATAATAGGTCTTTGAGCACCATCCGTCTGAGTTCTGCTAATGGGAATAGTCTCAGAACAGCCACAGAACCCGGGTGCACTGTCAGCCACAGCACAATGGAATTTGATGCGCGACTGCTGATTCAGCAGCTTTCAGGGAGCTGACCTGAGACCAGCATGTGGTAGGGGTGATCCGTGCGCGCCATTCAAGTGTACTTATTGGGTACTTTTCATTTTCGTAAATTTGGCCCGAGCTCCACAGCAATCCAGGTACACAGAAGGTCCCCTTTTCCAAAAACAAAAGGCTGGCAATAACCTGCTCCTGCTGGGCGACGGAGCTTGGGACTGAGGTCGACCTCAACTGGACATCACATTCAGGCTCTGATCGTACCCTCCCTTTCTATTCATAATATCTCCCCATCCAAAGCGCACAAGGAACATCTTACGGCGACCATCCTCATCACTTTTTTGTCCCTGATCATCGCGGAATCTTCATCCGTCTCTCGCGACCTAAAGCGCCAGCTACGCGCCCACTCTGCGATCGCCAATTTGCGCGTCATTGCATCATCTACCTCTCCCTCCTCCATCACACACGAGCCAACTCCCGAGCTTTGATACAATGGCAGAGTACAGCTCATTGAAGGTGCCGGAGCTGAAGAAGCTCCTGGCTGAGAAGGGATTGTCGCAAACAGGCAACAAGGCCGACTTGGTTGCGCGACTCGCCGAGAACGACAAGAAGAAGGCTGAAGAAGAAGCAAAGCAGCCCGAGCCAGAGAAGGCCGACACCAAGAAGCAAGGTGAGCACGACGTCACGCCCAACCCTCACTCATCCCCGCATATTAACCCCTACACAGAAGAATCCAAGGAGGATGAGATCACCTACTCCGACGATGAGGCTCCGGCCACCAAGGCAGCCCCCACCGCCGAGTCCACAGCTCCAGCCGCTGAAGCTCCCAAGGAGGAGCCCGCTGCCGAGGACAGTGCCAAGCCCGCCGCTGAGGGTGCCGAAGCTGCTGCAGAGGCGCCCAAGCCCTCCTACGCAATTGGACTTGCTTCCAGCTCCGCCGACGCCGAAGCCAAGAAGCGCGCCGAGCGGGCGAAGCGATTCGGTATCGAGGAGGACGATGACAAGAAGAAGCTTTCGGACCGCGCTAAGCGATTCGGCCTCGATGACAAAGAGATCCCTGCCGGCCTGGACTCGGCCCTGCCCGAGCGACCCCTGAAGCGCGGCCGCGGCCGTGAGAACGACGGCAAGGCCAACGGAAGAGCGAACAAGCGCCAGAGCCTCGATCGCAGGGGCGGGCGCCGGAGAGGTGGCCGCCAGGGTGGCAACGAGGGCAGCAGCAATGCCGGTGCTAAGCCCAGGTCAAACATCCTGGATGACCCGTCGGAGAAGGCCAAGGCGGAGAAGCGAGCTGCGAGATTCGCTTCGTCCTAGACGGCATGGAAGGATAATGAGCTAATATTAAGTCTTTTCACGATACGCTCTCCTTTCGTCTTGCTTCATCTCCTTTCTATTTTGTAAAGTCGTTGGATGAGGACTCAACTACGGGGAGAAATGGTACAAAAAGAACCAAAAATGATATGAGGATAGCATACATGGTATTTTAAGTCAGCGGAAACAGGGTGCTGGGCGTTGGGGCTTCTAGGAGAAAAAAAGAATAAAAATTGAAAATGCTTCACAACTATAATTACGATAAACAGTAAAGGTGCAACGTCTTTATTCACGTTATCCGAATGCTGATTCTTTGTCCTTCAAACCAAAACTACGAGGCAGCAGTCATTCCATTCCAAGCAGTGTGGGAATTGAGGATAAAATCCCACTTAAATTCATCCTTTCAACTCTTCAGGACACCTTCCATAGTCGTAGGAGTCAAAGTATCTATAATGATTCTGAAGTTCAAGACATTACCTCCTACCCATGTGGCTGTTCATCCAAAAACATCAGCCAAAAAGTTCCCGTATCTTCTAGGTACCCTAGACCTGAGATTTGCAGGATGTCGAGGGGCATCAGCGTCAGAGCAAAAACATTTCACTTGACATTGGTTCATACCAGAAAGAGCCGTGACTTGAGAATATAAGTTATTACACAAACTGCTACTTGATTCTGCGATGGTCGTATCAACTAACACTAGCCGAGAGACCCTCCCATGGTTTGAATTTCATAGAGTTCGCTTCTTTCAATTGATCCTACCCACCTACGTCGATTTCAATCTTCCCAACTTCTCGAAAAGATAGGGCATCCAGACTGGCATGGTCTTTCGTTACCTCATCGAAACTTAATCAACATGGGAAGTGGCCCAAGATGAACGTACATTCTACCGTGCCAAGAAGGGAGAGTAAGGTGATACAACTTAACGCCGCGCTCTTGCCCCTCGCTTTGTCTGGCATCTTGTTGCCGTGATGAAAAAGAGCAAGCATGTCCTCGCGGTGTGTTGAACGCATGTTGTTCCACGTCTTATCCCTGGGGCTGCTGTTCATAAGTGTAGAGCCCTAGGAACCATCACACTAGCAAGGAGGCTGGAGATTGTAATGTTCCTGGCCTAAAAGCTCATCAGGTCCCAGGGTAGTTCCCCCGTTTTTTGAGCTGTTGTGGTAAATTTTGAGCCTCCCTATGAGATGCTCCCTCAGACATAATCTAATCCTTCAACGAGATGAAGATGATGAACACTACGGCTTATCATTACATTGCAATCTTTGCCGTAGGAAAAGGCACGCTTCACCTTATAGAAACATACTTTAATTTTTCTTCAATTATTCTACATTCTCCATCAATGTTGCTTGACCAACATTGATGCGTATCTAGGGTAGGGAGGTGGGTGGGCGGTTAGGTCAACACAAACATGTCACACCTATCAAACATCAGATGTCTGGGGCGAATTAGAAGAGGCAAATAAGCACGAGGGTCCCTAGAATACCAAGAAGAGGAAAGAATACGCTTGACTTCTCTTAGCCCGATCTTGGCATGACATAAAGCCGACCGCTCTGAGATACGGCCTCTAATCAGCACGCCAGGAAGGCATATGCTATCCAGTCAGAACGTTCAAGTCTGCCGGAGACAGCAACCTAACTTGGAAACCCTGGCTTTGGCGGCCGCCGCTTGGAACATTCGGCGTCGAGCGCAATATCACGCAAATGATAAACGATCTGGTCAAAGGGTCAGCGATCTTCGATATGAGCAGGAGCTTGGAGACGCTAATAGCATCACTCGGACACCGCCGCTCAGCAAGCCCCGTGCCGAGCCGCCTGGGGATACCCATATTTACAAGTCTCGGGCCAGTAGAGAAATAGCTTGAGAATGACGGCGCTTAACTGTGGATGGTCCGGAGCTGGAGTTACCTGAAAAAGGGTCGTGATCATGCAACCCGCTGGCGGCCGGCGGTCTGAAAATGCTCGCAGGCTGAGCTGATCCAATTCAGCCCATGTGAGCATCTGAATGTCGTCATTTGTGAAGCAAAACAACATGAGAGGACATGACTCTAGCGCGGACTGTGGTTGAACGGCAAATTAGAACCGCGGCCGGGCGCTCCCGCTAGAACATTCAGCTGCACTGTTGCTTACACTTGCAGGAGCGATGAGAGATTGAGGGCCAAAGAAAGCGTCCCTCATGGCAATATTTTGAGACTCGAAGGGATGAAGCGGGAGTCTGGTGACCGAGATTGGTAGGATACCGGAGCTGTGGCGACTGAGCTACCTGACTACTCACCTGAGCATACGTGCATGAGTGATCCCCAATACATGAGTCGAATCTTGATAAACCCTGGTACTCACCCTGGGGGCCGACCCCGCAGTAGAAAAAAACCTGCATAGAAGCGCCATGATTGGAGAAGAATGTCTTCCATATCGGCTGCAAGCTAGATAATAGTTGAGACGCCAGGGGAGG